AGTTCATGTAAATTCTCATATGATTTCATATTCATATAATCACGTAATTCACTTACACATAGCACATTTTCATGTAATTCACATATATCCCTTAGCTTATATCTCTTGATCATTTAATCATAACTTCTTATCACATATCTCATAGTCATGTCTTCCTATATTCATTTCATCACACAGGCTCATAGTTTCTGGTCATATTATTCACATTCTCTAACTTATCTCTTATGATCTGGTAATCACTACACTTATTTCATATAACTTATTATCGAATAATTCATATATAAACACCTAGATCACTTTCACATAGCTTATATAAGTTTCCTGAATCCTTTCATATTACGTGATAACGTATATCATATAGGTATATAATAACTTATCTCATTTCGTCTACTTTATGCTTTATTTCTTTATATTCCCTTAGATTATATAACTTATGTCGTATTTCTAAACATATGTATTACACTTAATCATATTTTATTTATATACTACTTTAATCCATTTAATTAATTCAATTTCATACATTTCTTATAACCTTTTCATATAACCCCATAGATCTTTAGCATATAATTTATCATATATATATACATATCAGCGCTTTATATTCAAGTTCCCTAATAGATATATTATTCTCATTCCATTCTATAATTCAATCTTATTTAGTTTCCTCAATTCTCATTAAATCAAATAACTCTATTTTACTAATTCTCATAACCATGTATTTCACATAGTCTTATATTTCATTATCTTATTACTTATATTTATTCTCCTATGATTCTTCATAAACCTCTATTTCCATTTCCCTACATCTCTTGACTTATCTTCTATATTCATATAATTTCATAACTTATTTGATATTCTCTCATTAACACTTAATAGTGTGTGTACATAAACCACATAGCACATACAAAACATATCAATTCATATAATCAAGCATGCATACACTCATATTCAACTCATGCCTTTAATCATGAATTCATATGTAACTCTTCAGGAAATAGACTCATTGCAAGTCTTCTTCCCATCACCTATCATATACTATTGAATATGCACTCACCTGACCTCACTAGTCAATTCCAATCTCTTATCTTTCCCTTTGATCGATCTTACTTGACAATGATTCTGGAACTCGTTCAGGCTCTGAATCTACATAATTATACATTTTCAAGACAATTATTAGATACCTACATCTTGTAATTCGATACTAACAACTTAAACGAACTTAATAAACCAATATTCATTTCTTCCTTTAGGGAGGAATCGGTTCCCTCATGTGGGGGTATCGGTTCCCCCATGACATTCTGTAAATTCTGGTTCGTTTGAGGGGGTATCGGTTCCCCTTGAATGGGTACCGATTCCCCTAGCCCAGAAATCATATTTTTCAGCACGAAAATTACTTCCTTTCCTCTCAAACACTTCATATATCATCCCCTTTCTTATTCTTAACTTACATGTACATGCTTAAACTCATTACTACTCATTCAATACATCTTTAACTTCAAAATCTAATCCTCTACATAGAATTCAAGAATCATACCAATTTTTCCATGTTACTCAAAATTAATTCTAACACTTCTAGCTTCTTATTGTCATAGATGACAAGTCAAATTCAACTTCCAATTTGAGTAATGAACTCTATTCTAAAATTTCATTCAAAAACTCTTAATCTTTAATCTCTCCTAATTCCACCATCCTTTGTTTTTAAGACGATTTAAGCTTTCCTAAAGCTTAATTATCATCCAATAATCATAACCAAATCCTAAATTCAACTAAATATCAACTAACAAGAGATCTTACCTTTGTTTATGGCTTCACGGTGGAAAAGAAGAGAATGAAGAAGAGAAGTCTGGACTTCTCTCATATTTCCCACGTTTTATAATACTAAAAAAGGGAAGATAAAAATCTTTCCCATGAATAGACCATTTTGCCCCTTTAGTTCATCCATCTTTGCTATTTAATCCAATATTAAAATTTTTTACTTAACTCCCGAGACTTTTTAATTTATTTCTAAATAGAGCACAAAACTTTCAAATTTAGCAATTAAGTCACTGACCCTGATTTGGGATATTACACATGTTATGTGTCATGAGAGCTAGGGTATAGTTGGCATGCCAAGAGTCGAGGGTCTACGCGGTCCTTCGGGACATATATGTATTCTTTGGAACATGTGTGAGGTCTTTGAGACACATACTTGATCCTTGGCATATGTATATGATTCTTAAGGAATGATATGTGGTCCTTATGGACAACCTTATATGGAACTTCGGTGCATTTCTATGCGGCACTACGGTGCAACTCTACGTGGCACTTCGATGCATTTATACGAGCTGTGGTGACAGCATTAGTGCACAACCTCTATAGACTCATATATATATATAGTTCTCACATGTGTACATGGGCTAATAAGAAAAACAACAAATATATTACATGTGATTTGTATGCTTTTGTGATATGAATGGTATTATATGATTTATATGATGATATGTGGATTGTATGATTAAATGAGGCAAAATGTTGGTTAAAATGCTAGGTATAAGAGGATATGTATTAAGTGATATAAACGATAATAATATTGATAATGAAATAAGGCTAATGATGGAAATGATGAGTGATGAATATATGTGTGTATATGTTTTTATATGTAATGATATATATTGCATGCATTATAGGGATTTGTTAAATGAATAAGGGTATGAGTGATAATAGTAATTGTTCATGCATGATTACAAGCTATAGTTATATTTTATGTTTATTGCCTCACTAAGTCATCGACTTAGCGTGTGATTATTTCACACGTAGGTTACCGAAGTGAGAAGAGTAAAGAGCAATGTGGAGCAAGACAGGTCAGTTCTCCTTACCAAAGGTCAGATCAGAAGAAAGGTGAATAATATGTATTTTAATACATAAAGTTCTAGTTGGCATGTATTCAAAATAATATATTGTATAAGCTCTGAATAGTTTGATAAAGGTTTTGAATAAGTTATATGTAATAATAATAAATTTTAATTACTCACTGTTTTATACAAGTAAAGGTTTTTGAAAAGTCAGTGTGATACTTCGGACTCGGATTCGGGTCAGATACTGGCTGGGGGTGTTACAGATATTATATTTAGTGCTACTAATGATCAGTTTTATCAAGTATTTGCTAAGTTTATGCATGATGACTTTAAGATGAGCTTGATGAATGACAAATTGTCGGAGTCTTCAATGATAAATCATGCTAAAAAAAAATTCTACAATAGTGGTAAGCATGATCGAATCCACATAGAGTGATGTTAGGTTAATTTCATAAAAAATAAACAAAATAAATAAATAAGAGAGAAGTTTGTATAATACGAGTTAAATTAGAAGACTTAATTAAAAGAAATTAATCAATTAAAAATAAAATAAAAATATAATTATGATAGAATATCTAGTCAAGGTAAATCATAGAATTTAATTAATGATTCAATCACTGATTTTGACTTAGGATTATCTAAGTTCTTCATGAATATATTGGATATAATTACTCAAGACACTCTTAATAGTCTACTCTCTTCTTAGTTTATCGATAACCAAAGAGAGGCTCAAATGATTAATTTTCTTGTTAATTAGATAATCTCATAGAGACACTCATAGGATTTAATCTATTCAACAACATTAATATTTGACATATTTAATCTAAGTGGCAACAAAATGATCAAAGCTCATAAAAAATTGCCAAAATGGAAGAAAGGAAAAGAAGAGGCCAAAAATATAAAAAAATTAGGATAAACTAAACCCATGATCACTTAACTATGAACAGATTCCATTTGACCATCGATCTTTCAATTTTATCAATCAAACCTAACTATTTAAGTGTTGTTAACCAAGAAACATGTCATTAACATTTGACGTAACAGTTAAAAAATTGTATATTTACACATTTAAACTTCATAACTTACACATTTAATCAATTTAATCCTAATTTTAAAAAAATGTGCTCATGAGTTTGGTTTGCTAAATGAATTTTTAATTCAATTTTAATTTTTAACATAATTTCATATATATAATCATTAAAAATAAATATACAAAAATAATAAATTTAGTTTAAAAATATAAAAACCTTAAACTTAATTATAAATCATCTATTGAATTTGTTTTAGTGATCCTGTGATTGACTTAGGTTTAAGTCTCCACTTGTCTATTTTTATTTTTTTTATTAACTATAATATAAGATATATATAAAACATTGTAATTAATTTTTAAATATTAGATTTAGCGCAGTGATTAAGGTAAACACAATCTTTCTTAAAGTCTCAAAATTGGATCCTCTCTAAGTCAATTGTGCTTTCTTTTTGTCTTTAACTTTAATTGGATATATAACAATTAAAAAATTATTAACTTTATTTAGATATATAACAATTAACAAATGTAATCACTCATTAACAATATATGGAAAATGGCTTAGCGAAATATTTTATTAATAACAAAAAGATGTTTTTCCTAAGAATTTCACTTATAGCATAGTTTCCAAACTTTGCTTTAGGGTTTTATGAATTGACTTATTTTTCACTTTTTAAAAAATGATAAATGAACTAAAACATTTGAGATTTATTTTTAATGTTTTTTTCTTTTATAAAATAATTTAAGAGGCTTTGGATAAATTATAATTCAAAAATAAGTATTTATAAATTTTATAAAATTAAACTTTAGTTATTTAAAGTTGTATCAATCATTCATAATCTATCCTATTTAGGAGAAAATATTTTTTTAATGAATGAAGTAAATAAAAGTGGGGATTGATTGGGTTTAGCACTTGGCGTAGAGGAAATGTAAAGCAATAGAGCCTTAAAATCATGGGTAATTTATCGGTGCTCGACGGAATAATAACATATATTCTATAAACGTTAAAATTCGAAAATTTTAAATGTGTAAATATAATAATATTAAAAAAAACATAGGTAATTGTTTGATATTATTTGGAGTCCAGCTAGGAAATTTGTCATAGCCGTCACAGTAGCTGGGATGAAAAGACGGTATAATTAATGAAAGTTTGCAAGAGAAATATTAAAATAGAAACTAAAAATACAGAACTGTAGCAGAATTAAAATGGTGAAAAATTTACGTGCATGGAGGGCCCAACAACACTGCCATGTCTCTTTCTCTTCAGTCCCTTACACCACCGCAGTAGAGTGGCCCCCACCACCGTTCACAAGACTCCCCTTCCATGTGGATGACTCGCTTCTGTTTGAATCATCAATTCCATTGCTGGATTGAACCCATTGAAGCAAACTTTACAAGCTCTTGCTGTTGCAAGAATGACCTGTTTGATTCACCTCCCACACCGAGAAAATCCCTGGTTAAGCTCGAATCAACTTCGTTCGAGTTGTTACCTTGTTTTGTGGTGGCGTTTCTCACAAATGAGCTCGAGTTCAAATCATCTAATGAAGCACACCCATCTTTGGTAACAGCTGCTTGAGTTGAAGACAATGAGCTCACTAATTTGTTTATGTTCTCAGATTCACCGTCATTCGCTTGCTTGAACAGTTTATAAACTTCATTCTTGCTCTGGTCATAAGTATTGTTGGAACTCATTAACCTAAAGCCACTGTTGTTGAATGCTGCCGGGTTGCTTCTTGTAGATCCCATTTGTGCTGCTTTCTGCAAGAGTGCAGTAGCTGACATGTGACTATGAGACTCGCTCTGTTGAAGATTATTGTTGGAATACAAAGATGTTATGGATTCGGACAAATCTCCCTTGTTCTCTTCTTCTTGTTTTGGTCTCAATGCTGACATGTTGAGGTTTGCACCTGGAAATGATAATGCATCATCATCTGGGTACTTGCTGCTGCCCAGCCATTGTGTTTGTGTCTGCGACAATAAGCCAAACATGTTCATTGGTGCCATTCCCAAGTCAGGCAAGCTCGTGGATTTTGATGCTAAGAAAGCGTTTGCAGTAGTGTTGTTGGGGACACCGAATGGGTTCCCCTGGTCGAGCCATAACTGTAGTCTCGACTGTGGCTTTTGCCCATTTGGATTCAGGTTGTTGACTAGCTCTAACCCACCACTAAACTCTGGTTTAAACACCGATGAAAACTGGTGCATCACGTTGTCATTAATGGCCCCATTTATGAAATCATTTGTAAAAGCTGCTACTGGATTCACAGTCGATGGAACCGAAGTGAATCTCGCACTTTCTTCAGCTAAAGCATCGCAGAAAGCTCTATGCGTGATGAAGCTATCCTTCCTGGCAGCCATTTTTGGCCAGACCTCATTAAATTCATGGATTTAAGCATTTAATTCTTCAACAAACATAAACTATATATGTTGCATTTGAGAGATACCTGGAAAAGAGAGTTCCACAGTCGCATCTATACTCTCGAGTGCCGCAAATCTTACTATGAGCTTTCCAATCAGACTGAACAGCGTATTTCTTCGAACATTTCTCACACTTCCATTTCTTCTCGCCATGTTTACGGCTGAAGTGCTTCTTTATTCCGGTGAGGTCTCCTAGAGCTCTCGACGGGTCGTGGTGAACGCAGGTCTTTTCAGGGCAGATGTAAACTTTTTTTCTAACTTCTTTGTTGGTTCTTTGCTTCAGCTTCCATGGCAGATTGTGACCTCGCCTATGGAGTTGTAAGTTCTGGTCCCTTTGAAAACCCTTGTTGCAGATTTCACACATGAATCTATTGGTCGCCATGAGAGATTTCGGTGACATAGCGATAACTTCTGCATCTGGATCTGCTTAATTTGGACAAAACAAACCCATCAAAACACTTTTAAAAGGCAAAAATAATGAGATTACATCATACCACCAACTTGCCTGGTGTTCCTGGAAAATTTCTCTTCTTCTTCAATGGATTAGGGTTAGGGTTTGGTTGTTGTTGAGCTAACCCTTTCACAGTTGAGGGAATTGGAACCCCATCTTGAGACATCATTTCTGAAACTTTTAACTACTGAAACTTCAAAATTCAAGATTTATTTATACTACAAAACAAACTTTGTAAAGTAAAACACAACTCAACATCTCTCTCTCTTTAGAGAAACAGTTCTGAAAAGAAGAGAAAGATTGGTTTTTTTTTAACGTTTTGTAACCGAGTGAAAAACGTTATATATGATGGGGTTTGGTTGTTCAGATTTGGCTTAAAATTAACCCAAAGAAAATACCAAAAAAGAAAGTAGCTGCACAGAATATTTTCTTCCTCTTTTTCTTCTCTACTTATCTTACAGGGGCTCTCTCCAAGTCACTCAGCCATACACTCAGCAGGACCACCTTTATATATAATTTTACGATTCTTATTTAATACAATAATCGTCAAGATTTTTACTTAACAAACGGATTTAAAATCCGTCATATGCAACAACCAATTGATCAAATAAGATAAGGTATTAGATATTTTTAAGTAAAGTCGAATTGAACAAATTGAATTAAGAGAGTCATCCTTACATAATGAATTTATGTATATCTTATTTAAATTAATCAATCAATAGATCAAATATAAGGGATTAAACAAAAAAATATCACATGTTTTTTTATGACTTTAAATATTAATTAAAAAATATATAACCTCATTTATCACATAAAAATACATGTTAATTTATCACATAACCATGCATAAAAATATTAATTTTTCGAATATCGGAAACTATTATGAAATAATTTATAGTTGTGAAAAGATGGACTAATAAAAATGAAATAAGAGAAAAGTAAGTTGCCTTTACAGCCAACCGGTTTGATTGAAGGGGTAAAAATGATTACGGTATAATTGAAGCATCGAAAGATTTTTTTTGAGTTTTGTATTGTGTAGAGCAGAGGAAAAAGAAAAGGTGAAACAGAAAAGAAAAGATATGAGGGTGGTGCCGCCCGTGAGACGTGAGTGGGCAATGGTGGGGACACCGCATTCAAAAGAGAGTGTCAGTAAGAGAAAAAGCCATATACTTACAAAATACACGAGATGACGCCCATCGCTTCAGTTGTCCACCACCCCTCTCTCCTCTTTCATATTTCTTCAATTTTCCTTGAAGCTACCTATAATATATAAATCGTTAATTAACTAATTATTAATGACTGTTGATGTAACATGTATTATATTATTATCTATATATATAATATTTATTATTTCATTATTTTAAGTAAATAATATGTGTTATATCATCATTTATATAAATGTGGCATGTATCATGTTATCATTTTGAATATATATGACTTATCACGTCAAAAATAAATGTTGATTGTTATTCAACTAATGATTTTTATCCAACCATAAATCATGTTATACCAAAATAAAATATTAGGGAATAAAGTGATAAAAAATATGAATTAGAGTGACTATTCAATAAAATAATAATGTCATTTTCTTTTTGTTATTACTCCTTTTTATGATATTTACAACTTTTATGGTTTATATTGTAGAGACGAATTTTATAGAGATGTCATGAGAGTGTTTTATATACACCAAATTTTGAGATATATAATATAATTTCATGTATTTGTGTTATTAAATTAACATTACGTTTTGGTTTCCTTTAGGTCACTTATCGTTAAAAAAAATTAATATAACTACTAACGTGTCATCAAAAAATAATATCACATCATCATTGAAAAAATAAAAGAAATGACATATCAACAATTCCGTTAATTTTTTAATGGTGAGTGACTAAAGTAAAACAAAACGTAAAGTTATATATGATTTTGAAAAAAACTATTTTGTTGACCAAAACATAACAAAAGTAATAGTTAGGATACTAAACGTGTAGTTTACCCAAGAATTAAACATGAACCAAGAAGAAAGTAGGACGAAAACTCATACATGCATGCATAAATGTACCTTCCATGAAGTTCAAACTTAAGAGAACAAGAATCCTAAGTTCTCAACAAGCTTATTTAGTTTCTCCAAAAAAATTGTACTCCAAATTATCACTTATTTGATAAGGAAATACATCTCAAAATTCAAACTTTTGATGTCCTTCTTACCTTTTTTAAAACACGATTTTCTTTTTTAATCAATTTCACGAACTCATCTACTTCCTAAAAAGAAAATAAAAGATTCCAATAATTCAAATATTTAGAAAATGTAGCAAATTAACCCCTCTATGAAATGTGACACAGATATTGATAGGTTTAAGGTACTGCAGCTATGGAATTTAGGGCAGAATTACACTGTAAAGAAACTCGACGAAAATGTTACTATTGTCCCCTTTAAAGAAGAAACTTCCTTTGCTTGCAAAAGCAGGCTTTAAATTTCATTCATCATTGTTTTCACACTTGGTGTTCATAATTAGAGCTAAACTTCAAATTTTCAAAACAATATTCCTTTGTTCTTTGTTCACATTTATATAATCTTACAAAAATGTACTGTATGTAAATACTTTTACTTTTTAATTATGGGTTTTTTATAGGTTATTGGCTGTTTGCATGTGACTTTTTACGTGGCCAAGGAAGCTTCCGCAGTTGCCAATGTCCGTAGGACTTGCAACTAAATTTTCAGATGTGAAATGGACAGATGAAACTGCACTGCACTTTGAGGTGGCCTTTAGTTGATTGCTAATGACCGTCATAATAAATTAAGACTCTCCAAAGGTCGTAGGGTGATATTTAACAATGAAAAAAAATATTTATTATACTGCAAAAGGATAGATTACAATGAATCTCAATTACTCATTTTTCATATAACTAGTCCAATCTCTTATCTAACAACTGCTAGCTAACGTAACAAATTAATTAATTAACTACTACTCAACATTCCCCCTCAAGTTGGAGGGAGATATATATCTTTTACCCTCAACTTAGAAGACAATTATTTATTCTAACTCTGAGACCTTTGATTCATATACTCCGCTTGTAGATCAATTGTTGGGACATGACATGTCCTTACAAAATTAATTTGAATCTTGTATAAAATGACAATCTATTTATGTATGTTTCGAGTGTTCATGATAAACAAACTTAACAACAATATATAATGTTGCTTGACTATCATAAAACACCATAGATAGACCATCATGTTTAATTCTTAGTTCATTTATCAATCATGTCGACCACACAAACTCGGTTACTATTGAAGTCACCCCTATACTCGGCTTTCGCTGACAATCACGACACAACGTTCTACTTCTTTGACTTACAACATATAAACAAATCTCCCAACTTGATATAATAACTTGTTACTGATCTCCTCTTCATAAGACATGATGTCCAATCATAATCATAAAATGCATTCAATAGAGGCTTGGTACTTGCTGCAAGGAAAATGCTCCAGATCGATATACCTTATAACTCGAAGAGCTTCCTCATAGTGCAACTTCTTGGGCCTTTGTATGAACTCGCTCAGATGTTGGACAACATATGTTACGTATGGTCAAAGTGTATGTCAATTAAACCAAAAACCCAATGTAACTCCTAATGTAACTCCTAGACTCAGCCTATGCGTTACGACTAGATCTAGCAGATTACAATAAAAATTTCCAAAACATTTTTCAATAATTCAAAACCATATTATGAATAACATCTTTAATAACATAGTTAATAAGGATAAAATCCAAATGAGTAATATAAAACCATAAGTTGAGATTTATTATTAGTTGGTTTTTAGTTGAAATTAAGCTTGGGGTTTAATCATAAGATGATACTTAAGCTTAAGGAAAGCTTAAGTTATCTTAAAACTATAAGATGAAAAAGATAATATGGATCAAATATTGGAGTTTTTAAGTGAAATTTTGAATAAGAAGGTTTAAATGAATTTAGAGGATGAATTTGACTTGTCATCTATGAGAATAAGAAGCTAGAAGTGTTAGAATTAAGTTTAAGTAACATGGAAAATTTGGTGTGATTATTGATTTCTATATGGAGAATAGAATTTTGAGGTTTAAGATGAAATAAATGGGTATAAATTAGTTTAAGTATGTATATATGAGTTAAGAATATTAAAGGAAGTGAAATAGGAAGTGTGGAGCTGAAAATGAAGTGATTTTCGAGCTCAAAACATGATTTATGGGCTAGGGGAATCGGTACCCATTCAATGGGAATCGGTACCCATTCAATGGGAATCGATACCCCCTCAACCGAACCAGAAATTCCAGAATGTCATGGGGGAACCGGTTCCCCCACAATAGGGAACCAATTCCCCTTAAAGGAAAAAAATGATTATTGGTTTAATGAGTTTGGTTAAGTTGCTAGTATCCAATTACAAGGTGTAGGTATCTAATAATTGCCTTAAAATGTGTATTTATGTAGATTCTAAGCGTAAAGCAATTCTGTAATATTTGTCAAGTAAGATCGATCAAGGGAAAGATAAGAGATCGGTATTGACTAGTGAGACCAGGTGAGTGCGTATTATTAGAATATACATATTGTATATGGAAATTGGACTTGCGACAAGTCTGTTTCCAATATGATTGTATGAGTAGAAGTATAAATATGTTTGATATTGTGTGAATATGTTTTGTTCGTATTATATGTTATGTGGTATGCATTTTTATGATATGTGTTATATGACAATTATTTATGTATTATAGGAAAAATGTTATATGAGCTATATGAACATGGGATATAAGTTATAGGATCACGAGTTATGTAAAGTACCCACGACTTATGTGTTAACAAGAGAAAGTGACATAAAATATGGAACAAGATATAAATTACCTGAGTTAGATATAAGGGAATTTGTAGAATCAACTTAAGGGATTAAATAAAAAGTGAGATAAGTTAAATAACATTGACCTATAGAACAATAATAGATATATATATATATATATATTAGGAGATATTGATAGAACTGGTTATAGGGATATGTAAGATAAATTATATGGTAAAGATCTATGAAGCCATAGGAAGATGTTATAGGAGCTTTTGATGATAATTTATTAGAAGATTTGTATATGTGATAAGTATGGGAAACTGAATTAGGTAAACATGTGTAAAGGTTATATAAATAATAGAAACATGAATGAGACAAGTAAGTAAT